GCGGCGGCGCTGGGACAACTGGGGCGACGGAGGAGACGCTGGGAGGTATCCACCAGCAGAGGACGGGGAAACTCCATGTTCACAGCGAGAACATCCCGTCGGAAGTGATGCCCGGCAGACTCGAGGCGAGGTGTAAACTGATGAGTGGGTATCCGGCAGCAGGACGATGTGCGACGCCAAGCCCCGAGTCGTCAGAGGGAGATGTACATCGCAAGTTTAAAAGAGGTGAATTTTGTCGGGGTGGTTTTAGTGTTCTCAGAGGGAGGAGTTCTTCTCAGGCACTCCACTAAACTGTTTCCCCTCTTTAGGTGTCCTCTCTCTCTGCACCTGCAGTCATTTTCTCTTGGTCCCTCCCCCTCCTTCTAAACCTCTGTCACATTGCGTTGCTCTAACACTACAGCTTTAAGCAGGCTAAAAGTGCACTATTTGACGTTTTCACTTTATTATCCTGACATTGTTTGAATGAATAATAATAGTGTTTTTCTGTTCTCTAAATATAGTCTTATATGGAAATACCCCAACAAATACGAGTAGTTTAAGATATGGGACGCAGTTTATATAATTACACAGTAAAAACCTAACAGCGGTAATTTGGGTTATTCAGCCTGTTGTAAGAGAGAGAGAGAAAAAATCCGGGGATAATTTATTATATTTTTACAAAGTAATTATAATTGTAATTTTCAAACTAAATATTTCACTAGCAATCTAAATATGTAGCCTCAAACTAAACATAAAGCTAGCAAGCTCCCTAATGAAATATTTAACTTCCTAGCTAAATATTTTTAGCTTGGAGCTAAGTACTTAATTTGTAAATATTTATCTCCAAATTAAATATTTAGTTTGTAAACTAAATCAGCTTGCAGAGTACTAGTTTCTTTTATTTATATTTAGCTTCAAATATTTAAATGCGAATATTGCGAAGCTAAATATTTAGCTAGCTAGCTAAAACTTTAAATATTTTTATTTTGAAGCTAAATATGTAGCTTAAAGCTACTTAATTTTAAATTAAATATGTAGCCTAGAACTACATATTTAGCTTAAAGCTATTTAGCTTGAAGCATAATATTTTGATTTTAAACTAAATATTTAGTTTGAAACTGACATTCATAGATTAACGTATAACATGTTGAAATTATGACTTTGAAAAGTCACCCCCCATTTTTCTCATCTTGTGACAAGCTAATTTTGGACTCCATAAGATTATTACTGTTAATTTTTGACTGTGAAACTTTAAGCAGCATCCCGCAGTAAGAATCCCTAAACTGTATTAACTTTTTATTGCATATATATGATATAAGTCATCATATATTTTTAAACCCATTTTAGCCTAAAATTGAGGAATAACTATATTAGAGATCCGAGTCAATTTCTTTGTTTTTGTGTTATTTACTCAGCAGTAAACTCAGGTGCAAATGGTATCCTGAACTACTTACATGAAACTGCATATTAACTTTTGAAAATGCTTGGATGCTTCTCAGTCTGTGTTCAAGGTAAAAAAAATAAAATAAAAAAAAAAAGGGACGCAGAGTCTGTGTGATATGAACAGCCTGTCAATGGAAGATGCCGAACTCAGCATCTTCTCTCTCTCTTTCAGAGCTGTTCCCATCCACCAATAACACCCTACCCCGTAAAATTGATGCCTTAAGCCATACATGGCAGTTTCTCTTGTACACAAGGGATTCAAATATTGCAGCAGTAGTTTAAGATTGCGACCTTTCAAGGATCACAAACTGAGCCTGAGTGCTACAGTGAAGTACCTCTTCCTGAGCTACAGATCTCATAGAGATACAATGACATGTTGGGGTCATTGTAGAGAAAAGTAAAAAAAAAAAAAAACAAGGAGTAACTTTCTTCCATAAAAAACTCACACATTTTGAGATTAATCTCAGAAATGTCATAGAGAAAAACGTAGAGATGTCTGAGCCCCAAAAGTCAAACATTTGCAAGAAAAAACTTAGAAAATTTTAGATTAATCTCAGAATCTTTTTCTAGAAGGCTGGTGGAGGTAGAAGGTAATATGAAGGCAGTGAAATGTGATTTCTGGAGGACAATTTGTTTCCGTCTGTAAGAGAAAAGCGGCTCTGGAGAACATTTCCAGCCAAAGCTGCACAGAAATGGCTTGAAGACAGCAAAGTGGACGATCTGGAGTGGCTAAGTCAAAGTCCGATAGAGAATTTGTGGGAGGACTTGAAAGAGGTGAATATTTATGCAAGCACTTACTGTATTTTTTTTTTATTGTGATTATTTTTTTGGAAAAAACAATTTTCTCTTTTACATTAAAGATGTTCTGTTTTGTTTTTGTCATTATCAAAGTGAAATAGCATCATCCCTGTACTACTCCTATCAGGTTCTGTTATGCTGATTCAACAACAAAGAATACAAACATATGTCCGACTGCACTGGTGAAATAAAATAAAAATTTAAAAAATTTAAATTCTAGATTTTTTTAAAGTCATTATTTATGTTTGGCTTCATCCTTCAAGCCTCAAATAAATTTTAAAAAAATCTAGATTGTTTTTTGGTGTATTTTTTGGAAAAGGCTTGAAGGAAAGCTCAGCTTGTAGAGCCAGTCCTCGCTTTGCTCCTTCTGAGACTCGTCTGCAGGTTGCCCTGTTTGACTCTTGACTGTACTGCAGTCACGCAGCGGACATAAAAAAGCCATTTATCCGAGAAGCGTCTGTCATATCAAATAGTTTTTATTCAAGCTAAGCTGATAGAAAAAAATGCTAATTTAATTAAAATAAAAGCTAAGACATAACGATAACAATAAAAGACTGCATTTATTTAAGTAACAAGGCGAGTAGGAGCCAAAGTCCTCGACGGCCCGGATTCAGAGAAGGTTCAGTCAGCTGTTTTCCCCATGTTTGTTTTTGTATAACTTATTATATCGCAACATTTACTTTCTAAATCTGTTCAGTCTTTATTCTACAAGGAAGTGGAGGTTTCATATATTATGTCTCATTGATATGAAATCAGTCTAACAGGAAACGTGAGTATTCGCAATTTCAACCAAATAAAACATTTATTATGAAAGCCACAGCAACTGTTTCCAGCCTGTTGTCTTTAGTTTGGTTATATGAAAACATTGATGTTGTGGGAATGTTACAATCCTTCTAGAGAAAACTGCAAAAATCAGCCAAGATACCTAAAAACCTGAATTCAGCTTTCCCTCATCGGACATGCAAGTGTTGGTGTATTTTATTATATTTTAGCAATATGGAACTATGTTCAATTTTTTAGGGAGTTGTGACTGGTTTTGGCTAGTAAAGAGGCGAATGCATTGATTACAAGGCTACAGATAAATTGGCCCACTGGGACAAATAAAGTTGTTAGAAGTTGAATTGAGAGCTAAATAATTTATGATGTTATGATGACATCTAGAGGCCTCTCGCCAGCAGTCTTCTCTCAAATTTTCTTCGTCGTTTGGGACATTCTGATCAGATTCAGTCCACCACACTGAACCTATGATCTACAGTCAGAGTCCTATGACAGGACTCTGACTGTCATAGGACAGTCAGAGTCTTAAATTTGACTTCTTAAATTTGACTTCATTAAGTCAAATTTAAGACGTTTTTAGACCCAGCTTGAATGAAATTTAGGACAAAAAACAAACAAAACAAAAAAGACCTTTAAACAAAGGGAATGATAGAGGGAACCTGCTGGCAGAGTTGGCAACAGAAGAAAGCTAGTGGCAAATACAAACGTCATTCATTCAACTAGTGATACATTTTGACAAAATATTACATAAATAAGAAGCTATCTAGCTAGAAAGCTAGCAAGGGTGTTTACCGACCGCCTCAAGTCATAGAACGTGACTCGAACTATGGCAGAAAAGTCCAGCCAAAAAATAATATAAAAAGAACTACATACAAGATTAAATAGTCCTGACACGACAAAATTAAAGACTTGTAATTAACTTAGATTTCTTTTTTTTTTTTATGAATTTGACATTTTAAAGTGTAGTTTTGCATATAGAAGGCAGGGTTATTTATACCCCACCAGTTTTTTTTTTGTTCTGTGCTATCACCAACCTGTCGTACGCTTTATGTATGGTTTCGGAAATTTAAGGTATGACTGGACAACCCTGCTTCACCGCTGTCCGACCGTGAAATTTTCCTCGAACCTTTTCAGTATCGCACTAAGATCGCAAGACGGTCAGACACAGGATGTTAAATTACCCCGTTGATTAATATCTCGATTAATCGATAGGTGTAACTCCCCGAGATAAATCATCACTGCAGAAGATTCAATATCCTTTCCTAGTTATCAACAAAAGGCACCACTAACTCAAAGAGTAGAACGAAAAACAATCACCACAACGGGCAAAGGGTGTGAGGTTTGACGGCTTGAAAGACAAACGAGTCAGTTAGCAGTCGGAGTCAGGAGAAAATATAGTGGAGCTTGCTGAAACGTGGCAGAAAGCCATGCAACTGTGGTGCCCAGTCGGCAAGGCTGTGTTGGAGCCAGCCCTGGAGGGACGTGAGTTATATAGCATTAAATCAGTCTCACGTCCAGCTGACTTCCAGGTTCGTGTCTGTAATCAGCAGAGCTACTCATGCAGTTAATGCAGTCAGTGCCTTCAACAAATGAGAAACGAGAGAACGACAGACGAGACTTTTTTAAGGTATATGAGCATACATTTTATTGTGAGGGTCATTTAATTCAGAGGGTTTCAAGCGTTTTAGAACATTAACGGCTTTGTAAAATACCCTTCTGTCCTGTCAGACAGAAGGGTTTATGCCAATTTTGATGCAAATGAAAAGAAATGTAGGTTTTAATTTATGTGATTCTGAGCAAATTAATATGGCAAAAGTAGAATAATCTATTGTTGCATTAACCCTTGTGTGTGCGAGACCTGAGGAAAACATAGAGGACTATGGCAAATGATACAAGTTTTACGTGTGTGGGGTCAGTTGGACCCCATTTCTACAAACAAGGGTTAAAACGTGTATAGAAGAAAGTTTGTTTTTTAGCCATCCCAAAATCCCTCGTCACACTTAAGACACATACTGGACAGCGGCTTTTTGTAAATAACCAGACCGCTTTATTCAGAAAAGTATGCAAAAATTTTAATATTTCAAGATTTCATCAGCAACCAAAGAGTCATGTTTTAACCCTGTATGATTTTTTTTCTATCATTTTTTTTCTTCTTCTGTTGTTGCTAATAGACGTCTCCATTTATTTTTTGCAGGGATATGGAGGCAGTTGTGGCCAGCTTCTGCTTTCTTATGTGATTGGCCCTTGGTTACCATGGTGGAGACATTGGCTGTGGGTTCTGGAGGTATGACATCACTACGGCTGAGATAGACAACCTAAGAAACACAAAACATTGGATGTTAAATGTGCAAGCTTGTTGTAAAGTTCAACAGAAATTCAGAAACAATTATGTTTATCTTATCTACTTTAATACACAGATCAGGGAAACATTATGACCACTAGTCTTGTGTGCTAGCCCTTCATACAAACAAACAGGAACTAGTGCCCTTTTGAAAGAGCCCACTGCCAACTTTATCTTGATCAGCATATTAAAACTCTTCTTCAAAATTTGGTAAATAGTTTTTGTCTACACTTATTTTTAAACAGAAAACAAAATGCAGGAAATAACTGTTTCCTTGCAGCCTCTTATTATTGTTGTTTTATAAAGTTCTCAATATACATATCTGAGTGATTTTTATTGAAAAACTACTTTTTATATATAAAATGAAGATTAGGGATTATTAGAGATTATAAACAGCAGTTCTAAAATCGTATAGTGTGAACTGGGCTTAAGTGACGCATTCAGGCACTTTTCTTGTGTCATGTGTCAGTAAGACATTTCCTAGGTGCAAACTGGATGCAGTCCACATCGCAAATATACGACTTTATATTCTCAGAAAACAGGGTGTTTTTTGTCCTGTTTTATATATATATATATATATTTATTTAATTTTTTTTTACAGATTTTTCACTTTGTAATGTCATAGGATATTCTAATCTTAAAATATCCTATGTTATTCTAAATTTATATCTTTAATTATAGAATTTTTTTCTTACACATTCACAACTGATAGAATAATGAATTTTTTTGTAAATAATTTTTTTTTTATTTCCCCAAACAAATTTTCTAATTTACAATGCAAATACATCTTAAGTTTAATATCATAAATAAAAAAAATATTCAAGATTTTTCTTATAAACATGTACAATTAATCTAGAATGTCTGTGTTTTTTGGCAGCAATATACTCCCCCCATACCATATTGTATTTTTCATTGATCTATCTTGGACATAACACCAAATTTCACCCTATTATTAACCTCGGTGACAGTCACCCTCCACAGCACGTTTACCCTGTTCAGGTCCTTTACCTTCGCTTAATGACACCTGAGATACTTTAATTATATCTTGGCTTTGGACCAACGTCCCAAAACTGGCTCTGAACCAACTTTTACTCAAGTTCCTCGATTAGCAGTTTTCTGCTGAGCTAATCATTCTGCAGCACCAACTTTAAACTTATTATGGGCTCTTACGCCTAGCACAAGCTTAACAGTTTAACATCTCGGTCTAATTGGCATAAGCACTGCATATATAAATCGATATAATACAGAAAAATAAAGTTGAAGCACTCACATAAAGCTGCTCATCATCTGTTTGGTGTCTTCTGAACTTCTGGAGTTTGCAAAGCTGATGAAGGAGCAGTAAACGGCAATCCAGGCACACCACTTCAGCTGAAACACACAAACTTTTATTTCATTTTAAAAGAAAATAAGAGTGTTTTTGTTGATTTTAAATCAGTTACAATAAACGACTTCACAAGAGAGTAAATCAAATTGGAATACATGCATTTGACTTTGAAGTGACTGCATAGAAATGTCCATAAACAGGATAGTTCTGTTTGGTTCAATGGGCAAAATTTGTTGCAAATCCTATATGAATAAACTGAATTTAATCTCATTTATGAAAAAAAGAAAATATTACCGGAGATAAATAAGTTAATCAAACTAAATTTGCATCACTGAACTGTCCGCACCAGTTTACCACAGGCTGCGGGTAGCTAATGGTGTCCCTTGTGTTGAAGGTCAGCAGCTGCCCTTCATCCCTTTATTTAAAAGGCGAGTTTACCTTTAATCTTCTAAATGGAACAACTGGGATAGACCAAGGTCTACCCTTCATGTCTATCAGTGAAGGGTAGCAGGCTTCCAGCGGGCGCAGATCAACACCCACTGAGACTCGGAACAATAGAGACGGGAAATGCAACTGTGTAGCTGTGAATAAAGACGCAACGATAAACTCTATGATGGCCAGGAGAAAACCAGTTTCCGGTCCACTGGCCCTGACCCATGACCATCTCCATCTGTTGGGAATTATAGAGAAATGCAGGCAGCCTTTTTGGACCCTTTAGAGCTAAGATATAACTCTACTATCTTTAGAAAACGTGCAAAGATTGCTTTTAGAGTTACTAGGACACACTCTGTCTTTGTTTTGAAAAATCTTGAGTAAAATTATTATTTACAATGAGATTTCTCTCACAAACATCGGTGAGAGTTGACCTATGGCAAAAAAGCTGGGAAAGACTTTTCTTGGCTATTGCTGATTTTATTTTTTAGAAAGTAATCCAGATCATTTTAAGTAGATTTCGGCTTCAGAGATCAGCCACAAAACTCTGATTGATGCAGATCTAACTGTGAAAATGTGCACAGTTATTTTTACTTTTTTTTTTTTTTTTTTTACCTTAAGCATTAGCCCACACATGCTGAAGATCATGCCGAGGAGGTTCATGTAGTCAGGAGTGGGGTCCTCTAGTGTGGGGTTGGTCTCTGTGCTAGGGGGCTTGTATCTGCAACAACAAAACCGTTTATTAGCCAAAATAAGAAGAAAATGAGACCGTAATAGACATAATAGACTTTTACCATGCCTTTGTAATACATCTTACCGTCTGGTGTGTCAGGAACAAATAATGCAATTTTCACGTTTGCTTGACAATTAAAAGGTATGTATCAATTTCTTACCACAAGCAGCTACACTGCCCTCTTGTGGATAGTCTTCTAACATATAAAAAATACAAATAAATGCTTAAATTGCTCCAAGAACTTCTTTAAAAAATACCGGAGAAGAGCTGGTTCAACTAAAGGCAACTCAAACCAGTTAAATTTAAATTGTGACAAAGTTTAGGTACACACTGACAATAATATCTTGTGTAGATGCCACCTGGCTTCAAACTCCAATAGATAATTGGAGTTTAAAGCCAGTTATTATAACATTGTACTGTTATAATAACTGTAGGCTTTATGGCTTCTAATCACCTAACTAGTACTAATCCCACAGTAAAGTCCTCACGAGTGACTGGGTTAGCACTAGCTAGCTGTTGTTGGTCAGCTAATTCATTCAGCTTGGCTTGCTTTTTTTAAACTAACAGACACAAAACTCACCTTAAAATCTTATTTTGTCTCCTCGGGTCCGTGATACTGTTAGTAGACATGTTTAGTTATAACTTTATCCTATATGGAAGTAACGGGAAGTATATTTAAAAGTCCGCTTAGCGACCCACAGCTGATTGACTTCTCGGTTAGGGGAAAAGAGAACAGGGATCGTTTCCGGTTACTTTCAATATAAACGCTTTGGACAGCTTATGGGAGAACGGAGGAAAACAGTTTTTGAACATTTATTTTGAAAGTGCTGTTGAACCCCAGCGTGTATTGCTTCCGCGTACTCTGCTCGTGCTAGCAGTCATAGCGAGTGAAATAAGAAAAACTAAACTGTTGATGATGTACAAAGCTGCGGATTAATTTACCCTTTTCAACTGCTTTAAACAAATATAGAAAATGTCTTTTCCCGAAACACTACCTGGTTAAAAAATCTCCAGTAGGTAAGCTCAAAAAGTTACTTTTGACTTTGAAGTAAACGTATATCAATATTGTTCCAGGTCATATTTTTCGTTACAAATTAAAAGAAACTTGCTCAGGACTTAAAGCTCCATCAACATTAATTTAGAAAAAAAAAAAAAAGTAAAATTTATTCTTACGTAAAGTAAAATACTGAACATGTAATAAGCGCTTGAGGTATTTTGTGTTTAAGTGTTTGCCCGACATGCTTCACTTCACAGGTCCTGTAACTAATGGCGTTTCCTCAACCCAAACCTCAGCCTCCTCAGCTTCCGCAGCATCTTCTGAGGACCATTAACTGTCAACAAGGAGCTGTCAGAGCCGTTCGCTTCAATGGTACGAGTCATAATCCTAGCTTTTTTACAGTTGTTTTTAGACATTTGCTGCTTTTTTCACCTTCCTTTGTAGCCTGCTCCTTTTGTATTACTAGTTTCAGAAGGTGTGGATGGAATCAATAAGCGGCAGAAATCACAATAAATCAGTTTTATGTCAGTCATACAAACCTGGATTAATACAACAGGCAGACTGGAATTGACAAACGAGAGGAGTAGAGGTAGCATATTTCCCTTACATATTGTTTTAGATAATTTAGAAACAATATTATGGAGACGCAAGGCTAAATCGTGCGACCCAGAGACCCTTTAGTCCTGACTGTCACAGGTTTGAGTCCCACTTCCTCCCACCCCAAGTAACCTGCCTTCCTGTCTGAATACTGTCATATAAAAACCACTAGAACCGGAAAGACAATACTGTTTATATTTCAGAATTTAGACAGGGGCATAAGAAAACACAGCAGTGTATGACAAGATGCTCATGTCCCTCTTTCTCTTGTTTGCTGTACGTTCTGCCAGTGGATGGAAACTACCTGTTGTCTTGCGGCAGTGACAAATCCCTAAAGCTGTGGAGCGTTGGCCGAGGGACGCTGCTGAAGACCTACAGCGGTCATGGATATGAGGTTCTGGACGCCGATAGGTGAGGGAGTTTGCTTCGGTTTTCAGAAGTAATTATTTGTGCACAGGATGGGATTCAGAAAATATAAAGAATGAATACCAAAAATGCGGGAAGTATTAAGACAAAGACGGAATAGGCGACGCTGTCTTTAATCATGATGGTTTTAGGGCAAATTGTCCCATTCAACCAAAACATCCGACATTCAGCACACTCTCCCTCTGCAGAAAATAACGGGTATGTTTCTTCTCGCCTCCTGTTTTGACAGTTCCTATGACAACAGTCAGCTTTGCTCCTGCAGCTCGGACAAAACTGTGATTCTGTGGGACGTTGCAACGGGTCAGGTCACACGCAAGCTCAGAGGACACGCTGGGGTGAGTTAAAATCACTTATTGTATTAAAAATGTAAACAGCACTGTAAATCCTACATGATCCTCCATATTTTGATCCATCATTGATACAATTTTTTTTTAATTCTCTCTTTGAAGAAAGTTAACTGTGTGCAGTTTAATGAGGAGGCAACGGTCATTTTATCTGGTGAGTCATCAATTGTGGAAAATGTCCACTATGTACTCTGGAATAAAGCTATTTTGTGCTACTGCTGGGTCACGAGTTGGAAGGTTTTACATTTCTGGTGTTTATTTTTCATTTATGCAATTGCATTTTTTAAAATGTAATTTTCTGCATATGTGAGTTCTCTTTTTTTTTTTTCTTTTTTTTTTACTTTAATTTTATGTAGTGTTTCAGTACTCTTTTCATGTAGCTTTTATTTCTGATTTTTATGGGGAGTTTTTTTGTTGTTTTTTTGTCCTTCCCCATCATCCAGGCTCCATAGACGGTACAGTGAGATGCTGGGACACGAAATCCAGAAGAAACGAGCCCATCCAGGTTCTAGATGAGGCTCGCGACAGCATAAGCAGCCTTAAAGTTTCACAACATGAGCTGCTCACTGGGTCAGCAGATCAGAAATGAGTTACTACATTTATCACAAAGAAGCCATTCCCCTCCTAGAGTCCTGACGGCGTTCAGTGACAGAGTTTGCCGTTTCTTGCGTTTAGGTCGGTGGACGGCAGAGTGAGGCGTTACGACCTGAGGATGGGACAGCTTCACGTTGACCTCATCAGCAGTCAGCAACTTCATTTCAATGTTTTGGTGAAATTCTTTTTGAGCGGGGGAAATAAAAACCGAAAGTTGTTTATTACTGTGTACGTCTGTGCGTTCCAGGTCCCATTACGTGCGTGTGTTTCAGTCAGGACGGGCAGTGCACCCTGAGCTCCAGCTTGGACTCAAAAGTGAGACTTCTGGACAAGAGCACTGGGGAAATGTTGGGAGAGTGAGTGCTTATATATTTAAAATTTGTGGTCTCATCATAGCTTAATATTTCCTATCAGAAAAAGCAAAACAAGAAAAAAAATGCTATAAAACTGCTACGGTTAGTTTGCATTCATTTCCTCAGTCTTTTTTGGCGTTGCCTTTGAACTTTATGACTTGGGTCAAACATTTTGCTGCCACCTGTTGGGTTGGTGCAAGCATCCCGCTTTTTCCACCAAATGTAACTCTCAATATAAGTTCACATTTTACTGATAAGTTTTAAAATGTTAGATATATCAAGTTCACATTTTCTATCAGACTGGCCTCCAAAGTTAATATCCTGCTAAAATATGAGTTGAACCTGTGCAATGCACAAATAAATATCTATTTGTTTATCGTTTTTTTGTGTTAGAACAACACATTAAATATATTAGATGTAATTTGAACAGTTAAAAATAACCTAAGTCAATAAAACTTGTTTATTTTTACTTAAAAAAGAGGGTAGATTTAGCCGGTGTAAATTGTTTTAGGTAAATGATTTGCTTTGACACCAATATTGTGTCTGGTGATGTGGACTCGTGTAGATACACTGGACACAAGATGAAGGGCTACAAGTTGGACTGCTGCCTGTCCAGTAAAGACACCCACGTGTTGAGCTGCTCAGAGGACGGACACGTCTACTGCTGGGATCTGGTGGAAGTAAGCGGGAAGCTAAACGGCTTCACTATCCTCTTGAAAGTTTACATTTTAAAAACTTTAATATGATCTCTTAAGATTGAAATCTGACCAAACGTGTCTTGTATCCGTCTGGAACCGCAGGGATCGTTGTCATTAAAGCTGCCAGTGGGAAAAGCAGTCGTCCAGTCGTTATCTTTCCACCCCACAGAGACCTGCCTCCTCACAGCCATGGAGGGCCACGTTCAGGTGTGGGGGGCACAGCCAGAGGAGCCACAGGAGCCACAGGACGACACCCCGGTCAGTCAGAGTGGCTGAATGGACTTTAATTCCTCTGTTGGAGATGTAAAATATTGTAACATGAACTAAAGAAATTTCCTTATTTTCTGATATTCACCATCTGTCCTTGTAAGCGCAGGGCTTTTCGGCTGGAATTTGCTCTAAATTAAGAAAATATGGGACTTTTTCTTGTAGTAATCCTGTCAGACATGAAACATTTGAACCTTTGGAGTGTCATTAAAAAAAAGACCAACATTTTTCTTTTATATAATCTGATAATGGTCTGTGTTTCATTGGTCAGTCAGAGATGTAAATATTAACCAAACAAGGAGTTGAGCTAGAACTGATAAAATACTTGATCAAAGGAAATAAATCACATATCACTCTTGTTTTTGGGGTTATTTGCTTTTATCCGGGTTTGCTTGACAGTGAAGGTGAAGTCGTCAAAACGGTAGAAACAAGACACTGGAAAAATGGAAAATATACAGATAAATTCTGATTGTTTCACCTGTTTTGAATATACATTTTTCATCAACCACAATATTTGATTAAAAAAGTTTAATGTTAATACAGTAATGTAACAAGCTGAATTGAAGATTTTCTATACCCGGACTGCCCCCCTATTTTTTTTTAACTATGTATTTTTACTATATCTAACCTGATATACATTATCGTGATATACATGATAATAGAATAAAACCTTACAGACTTCTTGACTCACTGTGGAGTTTGAAAAGAAAAACCCTGCATTTCTCTAAGTTGATAATAGTAGAGAAAATAATTTCAATATTTTTTTAATATTATAACTGAAAAGACTCTCCACATGCATGCAATTTTTTTAAAGAGACTGAAACTCTGCAATGTCAACAGATTACTACAAAATGAAATGCAGATTTCAAGAATTATATCAACTAAACAAAAAGAAAATATTTAACCGATGTAACGTATTACATTATGTATATTTTAAAAATGCAGCTTATTTAACGCATGTTGATGCAGTCAGCATCCGGATAGTGGATTTTGACCCAATACAAAAAAAATTGTATCTGTCAATGTAAACTGAAGATGCTCAGAAAAAGCATTATTTGATGGAAAACACAACACACAGAGCATAGATGAAACCACATCATGTTTAATGCATTTTTACATTAACTGGAAAAAAAATGAATAAAAGTTAATTTTAATTAAACGTGACTCCATTACAAAATAAATTAATCTGATCTACAAAAAAACAAACAAACATTAAATAAATAAATATCTTTAGTTTTGACATATGTACACTTTATGTAGCTGAACAGTTTTGGAGCTTAATTCAGCATCGTTTGTAAATTGGGAAACATTTCTAAAGAGCTACATTTTTTTTTCACGTTTTTTTTTTTGATAATAAATAGATATTAGCTTATTTACAATTTTGTAATTCAAGTTAAAGCATTGGTTCCATTTTTTTTTTTTTACCTTAATTCAAAATAACAAACTCACAAAGCAACACTTCCTGGAAATCTAAATCATATCCCTCATGTCTTTTATGGATAAATCACAGAAATCTGAGTCAAACATTAGAATCTGATTATGAAGGCTCTTTTCGGAGAAAAAGAAAAAGAGTTATTTGTTTTCATTTCGGAGTAAGTCAAATCGTCCTCTCCGAATATCTTCAGCTCTCTCCCACCTGCCCCTTCCTTATTCCCCTCGATCCGGGCCATTTTTAATCTGCACAGCTGCAAGCGGCAGCGGAGAGTTTCTCCACCTTGTGCCAGCGGTGCGAGTTGTCGAGGAAGGCCATGTCCTCGTAGTGAGTGGGCCTGCAGCACGGCACGCTGTGCCATGGCTCTCCGGGGGCCGGCTGCGGGAGCCGCCCGCTGAGCAGCAGGTTGCTGAGCGTGAGGTCATAGTTGGAGCGGGCGCGGGGACAAGACCCCCCGCAGTACTTGAACAAGACCGTCTCGTCCGAGTCGTAGCCCAGCCCCAGGTCCCGCACCTGCAGCAAGACGGAGCGGAGGCCGCACTGGGAGTCGGGAGCGGAGCGCCGCGTCCGGACCGGGACTGCCTCGTCTCCGGAGGCTTCCCTTTGGATTTCTTCTGATGTTAAAAATTCGCTTCTTCTGTCCTCGTCTGAAGGCGACACGGGTTTCTGCTTTTGGCCTGGAAAAGACAAATTCATCGACCTTTTAACGGCACGCTTCCTAACTTATTTGTGCTATCCCTAAATCGATGGGTCACGACGTTCCTACTTACCAATCAGAGACCTCAGCCAGCGGCCTTCTACCTTGCCGACGCAGAACAGAATCACAAGAACCTTTAGAAAGGGTTTCATGGTCACGGTCTGGTCTTCGTCAAGTTCAATCCCTCGAAACGAACCAGAGACGTCTGCGTGCGTCCGTCTAGAAGTGATGCCTTAGATGAAGACGAGTCACGAACTCCAATATATATCCCTCCGGGATGAAGAAGAGGGGGGGATGAGATGAGGAGGTCTAGGGGGGAGACCAGACACTAACCCGTTACTTGCCAGTCAACTCTTTCTCGCTCACCTGAGACTGACAGGGAGCGAAAAGAGGGGCAGGCGGGCGCTTGACCCAGAATTTGTCCTGTTGGGATTTTATGCGTTGGTGTAAATCACAAAATGTTTCCCCCACAGGTGTTTTTCCAAAGAAAGCCGGCCACTAACGGTATGGGTTCCCAAAAGGTTGATGGTTTTATTATTTAATTTTTATTTTTTTTAGAAGACATTTTGGACAGTTAAGTTACAAGAAATATGAGCGATGAACGAATCAGTTCAAAGCCAGACAGATACGCTCATGAATTAAATATCTTTGAGACAAAAATGCAAAAAATTACGAGTATAGGAAACGTGAAAACAAAAACACGTTTGCTAAAAGCCCCGCTGAGTTATTGTGGAATTACCTGTGGTAAAGTCTGCTTTTTGTCTCTAATCCCAGTCTACATGCTAAATCCAGAGGTCAGAAGAAAGGACATCAAAAGGTCGAACAACAAAAAAAGAAAGAAGAAGAAGAATCAGAGTTTTATAATTAGAACACGGCCTGGTGCAGGAGGAATTCCTCAATGGGTGACTCCTCTTGAGCTGGTCCATAAATTGAGGGATTTCACTAGTAATGTGTGGCTGACATGTAGAATATGCATTATGCAACGATTACAGGGCCCAAACGGGCAGCGAGTGGAATTCAGAGATTGAAAGAAAAATGCACATCGGAGCTCTGACTAAAAAACGAAGGTGCAGGGGAAACACCTCAGCTCCTTATTTGGCAAACCAAATGATTCAAAATCAGGAGCCGATGTCCCTGTTACTTCACCTAACGGCTGCAAGACACACAAGAGTTTCCAGTTAGGCTGAACATGCCTTGCTTCCCTCAGTAAATGTTCAGAACAACACTGCACATCTACGGCCTGTTAGAGGGGAAAGCAGGAGAAGAGCTGCTTTCTCTGAAAGAAAAAAAAAGGCAACTTGGCTTAGTCGGATCTGAACGCAGTACAAGACGTTTGAAGCAACGTCCCTCAGACGGAGGAAACCTAAAATAAAGACGATTTAGTCACAGCATCACATTTCTGTGAAAACCATGCACATATTGACACAACCCCACACAAACAGCAAAATGTGGAATGGATAGAATCAAAAATAAAACCAAGTTTATTTTAAAAAATAATGGTAAAATACAAAATTTATTACAGTGCAGGGACTGTATTCAATGTTGTATTTTTAAGCGCATAATTCCTGGCTTCTGTTAGAATTTTTTAGACAAACGCAGCATGTCCAATAAAGCTCTTACCATATTTATGACTTTTAAACAGGCTCATCAATTACAACTCCGCTGATGTGATTTACTAAGAAACTATCCCTAAATCCTAAAATAGAACTAGCTACCAAAATTTACTGCGAGGAATTTTAGTACTTCTTTTCAGGATGATAGTTTTGAGCCTGCACATGATAAATGAGTTGATGAAAATGGAACAGGTGTGCAAACAAGTAGAAGATCACTCAAACTCTACAATAAAAGTTACTCTTTAGTTTCTTCTCACCTCATCCAAAGTCACACATTAGTTCAAGTAGACAATATATCCAAAAGTAGGAACTGGATCTGAGTTTTGGAGGTGAACTTTTGATATTTGGAACATTATACTCCGTATCAAAATGCTAAGACCAGGTGAAAAATGGTCTCAACATCGGCCACATTGTTTTTAAGAAGCTGCAATCGGAAGCCAGCTTCAGCGGCCGCTTCGTCCATGACGGTCAGCACCTGTGTCCATGAGAGCCGCTAACTGAAAACACACATTCTGTCTGAGCATCCTCACGAAAAATAATAAAGTCAGGAGTAACAACATTGTTTTCTAATAAAGTTGCTGAGCTTCAACAAAGATCGCCATCTTTGTTGAGGCCAGTAGAGTGTAATGCTAACCAATAAATACGTAGAAGTTGGGGGGGGGAAAGCAAGTTATTGCAAGCAACCAACTGAAATAGGATGTTCATCAGCTGGTCAAAAGAGCATTTAAAACCCAGGTCTTTGCAAAAATTTGTAGTTAGAGTCATTTTCTGTAATGTTTCCATATGGTGATGAGCTCCGATGGCAAAGTCAAAAAAAGCTTTCTCTCTTTGAGTGTCGTTCAAAGAGACGGCCATTTTAAACTAAAAGATTCTGATTGTTAGGGAACAAAAATGTCAAACGATGGACCACAAAAATCCATCAAGTCATGAGACATTAATCTTGTCACTGGTGCCAGCTGCAGCCTCATAACCATCTGTGATAGAAGAATTTTAAGAACGGAAACATCTTCAAAAGGTCTCGTCTCCTTCAATGGCACAAAATCGCCCAGTCAGAGTTTGAATGAGAGTGTCCAAAAGTGGGACATTGAAAGATGGAAGAAAGTTATACGATTTAAAAACAAATGCAATCTTGATGGTCTTGATGTCTTACAATGTCACCAGCAAGACAAGGAGATCGCACTTCCACTACATGGCAGAGTGGAGGAGGCGCCACCCTGATCTAGGGGACTTTTTCCTGCAATGAGACAGTGGGGCTTCAAGTTGTGTTGTCAGGCAAAGCCCGTCTGACAAAGGATTTCTTCCGTAGAAATAACATCACTCTTTTGTGCCCCTCATCTAAATCCATTTGAGAACATTTAGAGTTGGATGGCAAGAGAAGTTTACAAAAATGGACACCTGTTCCAGACAGCGGACACCTGTTCCAGACAGCGGACACCCTCCATGAAGCCATTTTCACCAGTCAGATCAACATTCACAGTGGTAGAATAATAAGACCTAGCTGGAGCTGTTTGAATTGTCTGGTACTAAAAGTAGTTTGGATGATGTTTGACAGAGTGGGACTATCTTAGAATAGTTTGTAATAATAAATCAAAGCGAAAAGAGATCATATATGGGGACACCTCAGGGTTCTATTATTGAGTTACTTGTATTTAATATCAGTGTGATTCTTGTAGCTCAGGTTATTGAGTACAACATTTTCTATCATTTCCATGCCATTGGCATACAATACTTATCAAATCAAAATCACTTTGATAAGTCTAACTGATCTAAAAAAAAAAGAGAGAAGTTTGGCTTAAACTTCAGACAGTAAAAAAAAAGATGTAGGTGTTTTTTTATTTGGTTACACTTCTGGATTCAGCTCATCAGAGTTGATCAATTAATCTGCGATCTGGAAACGTATATTAAACTTACATTAAACAAATGTAGTCGGTGCAGTTGTGAGCAATTGTTGCTGCTTTTTCTTTCACTAAAAATGGAAAATAAAGACAAAGTGGCAGAGGACCAGACACATTCACATTCCCAGGGATACAGAAGAATTAAGGCAGAGTGACAGATAAGAAGACAAAGGGAAGCCAGAGGAGGTGATGGGAGAAATACAGTGGAGATAAAGAAATCCCTCAGGATTATAGTCTGAGGGACTGGTCTGGAATTCAGCATAGTCAGAATAGAGGAATGGGAAGAATGTAGCTAGACTTTCCGGAACTGTCAGAAAAAGAGAAAAGGCTGAAATAGTTGACAGCATTTTGCAGGTTATCAATTACCGGCATACTGTCGGCACATCAGCATACGTTAGAGGTGTTATGCACTTACAGTAGCATGAGAACAAAGGATAATTAAAACAACAAAAAAATCTTGTTCTCTTTTCACATATATTCATAGACATACAAAGACTGACCTCTCAACTTTTATTTACATAAGGCATCAGCGTTGTCAAAGACAAAAGTTATGAAAATCAGATTTATTTGCAGATGTTTTAGGGGAATATTCTTATACTTTGCATCGACTGGCGAAGTAGAGTTCAAGCATTTTCTAATAAGTTAATTATTTTATCTCTTATGTTTTGAAGCTCTAACTGGTTCAGTATCATTAAATGCTAACATATACACACATAAACTCCCCCACAAGCAAAGGGAAAGTTGTCCCAGATGTTTAACCCATTTTAGCGGCAACTTCATAACATGGAAAACATGCAAAAAGAATATTATGCATGTAAAAAATGTGAATGTATGTTGCTGATGTGTCACTTTCTTAAGACAAATCCTCTGCTGTAACATACAGTTTTTGCTTAATTTCTCTACTTCACAGACTTAGAAAATATTTATATATTTTTTTCTCATTGACAATTTATGTTATATGAAACTGTATTCATTGTCATATGTTCAATGTATGTGTAACTGTAATTTAATGCTAAGTATTTAGATAAATATGTGCACTACAGGGTATTTTTTTAAACCCGTTGTGGTCAATTTGTGATTTGCTTCATCAAAACCAAACCTTACCATGTTTGTGCTTAGAGTTGAAAGAAAATGGATCTAAAGGATAATAATGATAATAAGAGTGAAGAATAAACTTAGCATGTTATGGCAAACCAAATATGTTAGAGAATCAAAAATAAGTATGAAACACTCAATATCTAAAAACTACCACTGGTTTGTCAGTTTTACTGTAAGCGGTCACTTTGTGACTGGTGTTTGTGAGAAACGTCTATATCTGATGCGCCTACTCTACAGCGGCCATGTTGAAAAGGTATGCCAGCATTTGGCATGGAGGATGACACAACACCAATTAAAAGGGGTGTGCTGTACATTCCTGACTTGAGCTGGTCGGACAGTCAGCCCATATAGGGGCCGTCTGAGCCGAAAGGGGGCAGGAATGTGGGGAAGCAGTATTTCCAGTAAGTGGAAATATTCGCGGAGGACTTAGCCTTGGAATCTCAAACTTGCATGGAGCGACTCCTGTTTACGCTGTAAATCAGCTGGTCAGAGCCGAGACGCTCCACCGTTTGTCACGAAGGCACAAGAGGAGGAATGTGCAGGTTTGTGCTCCAGCTTTTGCCGTGGATCGGGTGATAGTTCAGGGATAAGATCGCACTCCGGTTGAAGAGAGCGCCGCCAGATGGAGGTCACGGAGTAGAGTCACGTTGGCTGTAGATGTCTGCTGCTGGTGTAATGATCTCTGATATTCTAGATGAGAGTTTTACTGCACTAAAGTTGGAGGAGTTATATTTATCCACATCTCTTGTTGCTTTTCTGTCATTGTGGGCTTTCATTCTAGGAATAGCTAAAAAATAGAAGTGCAGCAAAAGCAAAGGAGACGGATTAGCAGCTCTTGGCAACAACTGATGTCATCATCCAGGTCATACTACTCTGGAATATCGTCTCCACTGCCTGGAAATTGAGCTGTTAGCATGTGTCATGTAAAAACTGTCTCACTGCAACAGTCTTCAGTCAGAGGCCTACTCAGATATGTGGCGAGACTGACTGCTACCGTAAATCAATCCTGTCGCACAGAGATAGCTCGATTAGTGAATTAGCTATTAGCAGCTCATTTTGCTTCCAGGATGGAGTGAAGATCTGAATGCCAAAAACAACCCCATATACCTTGAAACTACAAATTCAGCTGGTGTTGCTTATTTCTATAAATACAATTACATATTAGTATAAATATTTTACATTACTCTGGTGGCAAAAACAAAAACAGTTGCCTTTTGGGTTTAGATAAATGCAGTTAGATACGCTATTCTTTTTTGAGTCATTGTGTAACTATATTATTTCAACTAAAGGTTGTCACACTGTAAGAATCTCCAGTCAGCTCAATGTCAACAGAAACAGAATTTGGTTTAAAAAACACTTAAATAGTAAATGATCATAAGAATCAGAAGAGATGCAGCATAATACTCCCCAACAAAGAATGAAATACATAATTTTTTCAGCCCCATAGCATTTTTAGATTAGCATCTAATGGAGATCATGCCTGCTGCAAGCCTGATTTTGTATTAAGGTTGCTTATGAAGTGTTAATGTTCTACTGTTCTTGGGTTATTGCACACATAGACTCGAGTTGTCTATGTTACTTAGTGTTACTAAGGCAGCAAAAACATTGTTTATAATTGTTTATAATATGTGCAACCATTATGTATTTAAATATACATATATAAAGTTTCATTAGAAAGAGTAAAAGCAAAACAGTTTAAGTTTTGTTTCTTCACTAGAGTGGAGATTCTTGCACATTTTTGCTGATTTTCAAGATCAGCTTGTTGGCTAGAATAGTCAGAATATATACATTTGATGTATTTATGAGAATGCAAAACAAAAGAAAAAAAAGTGGCTCTCACTACCAAAAGGTAAGCTTACATAAAGAACCTGAAGAAAGAAACATACAAGCCAGAATTTAATCAACTGCTTTTAATTCTTTTCAGAGAGAGAAAGGATACGGCAGTAGAAATACATTTGTATCCCACAGTAGCAGACGGAAGAAGGTCCAGCCTCATTTTCCTCTGAACACCAGGTGGATACAGAGAGCATGCAGCATATGAGATATTAAACTGTGTCAAATCTTTCATATCTTCTCTCAATGACAGTGCATGAACTTAAACCAAACTCTCCTGTTAGGTGCCTTCTGTTCTTACAGTGCTGACATGAATACTGTCACTGAACCCTACACTGATAAAGGAGGGTTCAGTACGTTTGTGAGTCCATGAGTGTCCACGGTAGGCTCACACAACAAAGACGTGTCCTGCAAGAGGGACACCAACACAACGGAACCGGGCTGCTCTGTTTTGTCTGGGCAGAGGCCACGCTGCGGGTCAGGCTGTTTTTCACACGCCACCCTCTTCGCTTCTCTGTAGCCGCTCAGTCTGGACGCGATAGACCTCTTTGGTCTGGTCTTCTTCGGCTTCCTCCCCTCCGGGTCGTGGACCACACTGTGACGCTGGAGGCTTTGCTTCATGGTGAAAGCCCTCCCGCAGCCGTCATGAGTGCAGACGAAGGGGCGCAGGTTCTCGTGGAAGGAGCCGACGTGGCTCTGCAGGTTGAACATGGTGGTGTAGGAGCGGTCACAGCCCTCCTTGGGGCACTTGTAGACGACCCGGGTGTCGGCGTGGACGCGCTGGTGCTGCTGGAGGAACCAGGAGTCCCTGAACACCTTGCTGCAGTGTTCGCACGTCAGAACAACCCGGTGCTGCTCCTTCCTGTGCTTCAGTAAGTCCGTCCAGGTTTTCCCTGTGAACGGACAGCCCTCCTCCGCGCAGGGGTAACCTCTGTGGACCTTCTCGTGCCGCTTCAGCTTGCTGGGGT